TGTAGAATACTACCTACACTGGACCACCACGTTTGAGATATCTTCTTCAGGTAGTTCAGACACAAACCGCGCGGCAGCTTATTGTAGAATACTACCTACACTGGACCACCACGTTTGAGATATCTTCTTCAGGTAGTTCAGACACAAACCGCGCGGCAGCTTATTGTAGAATACTACCTACACTGGACCACCACGTTTGAGATATCTTCTTCAGGTAGTTCAGACACAAACCGCGCGGCAGCTTATTGTAGAATACTACCTACACTGGACCACCACGTTTGAGATATCTTCTTCAGGTAGTTCAGACACAAACCGCGCGGCAGCTTATTGTAGAATACTACCTACACTGGACCACCACGTTTGAGATATCTTCTTCAGGTAGTTCAGACACAAACCGCGCGGCAGCTTATTGTAGAATACTACCTACACTGGACCACCACGTTTGAGATATCTTCTTCAGGTAGTTCAGACACAAACCGCGCGGCAGCTTATTGTAGAATACTACCTACACTGGACCACCACGTTTGAGATATCTTCTTCAGGTAGTTCAGACACAAACCGCGCGGCAGCTTATTGTAGAATACTACCTACACTGGACCACCACGTTTGAGATATCTTCTTCAGGTAGTTCAGACACAAACCGCGCGGCAGCTTATTGTAGAATACTACCTACACTGGACCACCACGTTTGAGATATCTTTTTCAGATAGTTCAGACACAAACTACGGCAGCTTCTTGTAGAATACTACCTACATTGGACCACCACGTTTGAGATATCTTTTTCATGTAGTTCAGACACAAACCGCGCGGCAGCTTATTGTAGAATACTACCTACACTGGACCACCACGTTTGAGATATCTTCTTCAGATAGTTCAGACACAAACTGCGGCAGCTTATTGTAGAATACTACCTACACTGGACCACCATGTTTGAGGGCCACAACTTTGTTCGAGGGTCGCAAGTTTGTCAAGTCTATATTGTAAGGTGTTATCCTCTTGAAATAAAGTCTAAATGAATATCTTTTTCAAGTAGTTCAGATACAAACCACAACAGCTTATTGAATATTGTAGAATATTGTGAAATTTGTATTCCATCTTTCACTTGGGGGGGGGGGGTGAAGTAATGTTAAGGAATGCCGATCATCCTAGGAAACAATGCTCTCTTATTTGCCCACCTTTAGGAAATATGGCTACGAAACACTGTTCTGAATGTTCCCTACTTTGCCGTTTGCCCACCATTGGGACATATGTCTAGTTTGTAAGCTGTAAGATATCAGTTGTAAGCTTAACCCTAGGTTAACCGAAAATTCAAAGCAAACGTTATAAACAGTTGGGAATATTTATTTAGAGATCTTGTCTTGATCAGTGATTTAGTATTGAGGAGTTTTCTTCTCTGAAGTTTTAAAATAAGCAAATGTGCAGAAAAACCTAAACTAAAACAGCAGGTTAAATTTTAACCAAGTGTTAGCGCTAATCCACCCGCTTTGAACAACCAACCCTTGATCTTTAATTAAGTCTTTGAAATAGTATAATATAAAATATTGAACACTGTTTCAGGCACTGAAAGATCAAATCCGCAAAGCAAGACGCAAGTTTGACGCGGCAGACCAAGACAAGGATGGGAAAATGAACAGGGAAGAATATGTGTTGTTTCAACATCCAGAAGAAGCTGAATTCATGGAGAGAATTGCTATTGAGGAAATCCTTGATGAAGTTGACAAAGATGGAGACGGGTAAGAAAGGACCTTGTGTTTAATCTCTAAATGTGTCATACCTTTCTCTGCATCAATAACTTAAATGTCCTCCTCGGAGTTTACTTGAATTCACCCAGGTTCATTACATATTCGGTTCCATATTATGGTGGTAACCTGCTCGCAGACGTTGTATTTCTTACGCTAAGTTAGTTTTTCGTCGCTTTGCGTAAGAATTAGAGACCTTACGATTTTAGGACGGCAACGGCTACCAATACAATAATAGATCATTGAAAAGAATTGAGTAATTACAATATATGAATAATTTAGACATTGTCCTCGCTCTGTTTACAACGCTAAAACACTTTCAACTTCTAAAACTGCATTAAATTCATACGATTGATAATATACCACGAACTATCTTTACTACCATTTATTTGAAGGAGTTTGTTTTGGCCGTCGCCGTCGCGTTGCCGTCCTAAAATCGTAAGGTCTCCATGGCTATATTCAGTAACATTTTCTTCAGGATACCATTAGTCCAGTGGCGTAACGACTATGGGCTCGGACCGGGCGAACCCGGGGGCCCCCAACCCTACCCCAACCCTAATGGGCCAAGTGGGGGCCCCCAGACTAAGGATGTAGAGCAAAAACATTGGCAAGGGGCTTTGATATGTCACAATGTCGTTTTCTGACCATCAGAATTCTGTAAAATCTCTCCCCAAAGTCCAGGAAATGGCATTTCAGAGAGTCTAGATTCAAACATTTTCCGGATGAGCATGTCCTGGACCCCTAGAAAACTCGTGTATATACGGCGCTCGACTCGTGCCTTTGGCACTTTTACTAGGGGGGGGGCCTTCGAAAATTTTGAACCGGGGGCCCCCTGATATAACGTTACGCCACTGCATTAGTCTCCGGACTGGCAGTGATAAACCTCTCCATAATTAACAGAATGGAGGGAGCAATATCATCGTGTAATTCATTGGCATGTCTATGGGTTTTATAATGCCTTTTCCGCACTACAAAATGAGACCTGAAAGTTCAGGCCCCCAATCCTGGGGACTCATTATATCCATTCATTTCTTAGGCATATATCAATCAAAGAATTCCTGGGTCAGTACGGCGAGGACCAGGGTCCCGAGTGGGTCGCTCGCGAGAGAGAGCACTTCGCGAAAACCTTCGACACAAATGGCAACGGAAAACTGGAATTTGACGAAATCCATAAATGGGTCATTCCCACGCGTGGAGAATCGCGCGAGGAAGCCGAGCATCTTATGGAGGGGACGGATGAGGACGCCAGTGGATATTTGTCGGTGGATGAAATTATCCTTCATTACGATCTGTTTGTTGGTAGCAAGGCAACTGACCACGGAGAAACATTGAAACGAATGAGACATGACGAATTTTAGTGTGAAGGAAATTTAGATTTAAAATATTTAGGACTATATGTTACTACTAATAGGAACTTTAGAGTCAAATAAATTATACAACTATCATTATATATCATGCACTATAGGTATCATATTCACTTATTGACTATACACTATATATTATATTGAAAAAAGTTATAAATTTAAAATTATATATTGCACTATTTGGATATATACGATCAAGGTGTCAAACAAGATTTCTGGTGCAATGTCGCAGAGTCTTTACGATTTGGTTCGCCTCTCTGCAGGCAGGCTAGGGAAACGCAGGCAAATTACCCGAGCAAAACCCGAGCGCAGGTATTGGCAATATGGCGGCGAAAAGTGAGTATCTCACATAAAAATAAGTAAAAAAATAAAAATATTTTGTACCTTTATTCACAAGAAACAAAATAAGAGCCTTTTTATATTTTTGTTAACTCTGGTGTAGGTCAGGAGGGGTCAAAGAAAAATATATTCAAATTTCAAGACCTTAAAACCTTGCCCGACGAAATCAAAGATTATTCGCCTTCCTTGCAAAATGAACATACTCCAATACTTATTGATAATGGTGAGTCATGGATTATTAGAGGACGCTTATAGTTCTACAAATGCAAGATTGTTGGTGACACACAGTGGTTGGTGCTTGTGTGATATGGCTTTCACATCTACATCTCATACTGTGATATTTGGGGCTCAATTTCTGCAAATGGCAATATTGATATGCAAAGTGACTAATAATATGCCCGGCAGTTATCTATTTATAGAGCTGAGATTCATATCTTTAATATCAAGAAGTGTTTTTGCAAATGCTTTCATTGAGTCCACCAGCGGCATGGTGGAAACAGCATGTGCTTGGGCATTCTGCGTCGTCAGTTCAAATCCCAGCAAGAACATTTTCGTTCTTTTTTGTATTTTTTCCTAATTTTTTTCTTATCAAATTATTTTACTAAATGTTTCTATGGGTTAACCTGCATACCACTGCTCAACACTTTTCCCTTGGCGAGTAATAAAATACTACAAAATACTACATGGGGAGCACTTAGGTGCATTGCAGCTTGACGAGTTAATGTTAATTTTCAAAATAATGATTCACTGTTATTTCAGGCAGTTTTCAATGCCGAGCAGGCTGGATGAGCGACGAGAGACCCTCGTTAGTACTCAGAAATGCAATTGCAAAATCACGAGGCAAGAAAGATGGCGAGATGGAAATTCTTATCGGGAATGATATTTCAAATATCGAGCTTGTTAGGTGGTCGTTAAAAAGTCAGTTTGATCGGGATGTCGTCACTCATTATGATGCTCAAGTATGTTTATTAACAACTATAATTTGGGCTTGTGATTTATGTAGTAGAGTCATCATTCATAAAAGTGGGGTCAGATAGGGTCTGGGAACTCAGACTCTATCCTATTATTCTGTTCATATTTATGTGAACTTGCAGGGTGAAGTCAAGAATTTTTGGTATGTTGACCATCAAGTGGCATCATCTACTTAGAGTGCAGAATGGGTGTGCAATAAGTCACCACTGAAACTTGTTTAAATCTTCCTAAACACACAGCTCCGTGCACTCCCAGAAATCTGTCTACTGTATATATGAATAAAGTTACTTTCCTAATAATTCTGTTCAATGATTTTGCACATTCTTTTAGGAACAAATTTTTGACCATATTTTCAGCAGACTTGGAATCAACACCCAGGGAAGTGTTGAGCATCCAGTGGTTCTGACAGAGTGTGTTTGTAACCCAAACTATTCACGGCAATGTAAGCTTATGTATACACATTAGTTTCTTATCATGTACAAACTGCAGACCTGTCAATTCTTGGGAATGGCTAAGTGGAGAGTTATAAAATGGGGAGTTAAGTTGGAGAATTACGATTTTTGGAGAGTTAAGTTCGAGGCACACCTGTGTTTTCCAAAGACCACACCCAATTTGTTAACTCTCCTGATGTAACCTTTCGAGGAGTTGAAGAGATTGCAAAAATGATTATAAAGGAAAAATGATTATAACTTCTTACTGTACTGTATTTTAACTGCATTATGACTTTAGTTTTGCTCTGCTGGTTTTTGACAAAATCTCATAGCCTTTGAGGGCTAAAAAGCATTATCTCCCTGTTTTAAAGTTTTAATCTTGACAGGTCTGAAGCTGTCTAACTAGTCTAAGACTAACCACACAATTTCTTTCCCCAGCAATGAATGAACTTCTGTTTGAATGTTATCACGTTCCTCAAGTCGTGTTTGGAATAGACAGTTTATATAGTTTATACTACAATCAACCCATGCAAGGTAAACTATCTAAAACACTAGCCAAACTGTCTTTCCATTTACTTGGTCATTATGCATAGCCAACATGTAAGCTAACAATATTTTTTAGAGAACAACACTGCTTTGGTAATATCCTCTGGCTATCAAGTCTCCCATATTTTACCAGTTGTCAACGGAAAACTTGACGCAAGGAGTTGCAAAAGGTTCGTTTAGTTGCAAGATTTTTCACAGAAATTTTAAAACAGTACATTAGATGCGAATGCTAAAATGTCACTCGTATAATGCGTACCAGTTTACTCTTTATGATGTCATCTACATGAGTAGAACTAAAGGTCAAATGATATGTTGGAAGTCATGCATGGTTACTAACACAATAAAGTTTTGATGAGTGGTCCAACTATGTTTTAACTTAATAAAATACATGATAGTGTTGGGAAAGCCCAACTTTCATCCTCGTTTGATCCGGGCTTAACAGCCAAAATATTCTTATCTGACTTTATATATACTGGATAGCTTTATCAGTTCTAAACTGTTCTCCCAAGAGGTCCAGTAAGGGCCATCTTTATTTTGACCCAGTGTTACTACCGGAGGAAACCTAAACTATAACAATATTTATACTGGATTGTTCAATCAGTTCTAAACTGTTCTCCCTCTCAAATTTTATCACAGAATAAACATAGGCGGTAGTCACTGTGTGGGATACATGCAAAGATTGTTACAATTGAAGTATCCAAGTCACACAGCACAGATTACGTTATCAAGAGCGCAGGTTTGTTTGTCAAATAATTTCAATATCTGTTTGAATGCTGATAACCCTAGGTTGACCTAAAATTCAAAGTAAACTTCCCAACAGCTTTGTTTATAAATATGGAAAATTTTCTTTAGAAATCTTGTCTGGATCTGAAGTTTTGAAATAAACAGACGTGCAGAAATACATAAACTAGAACAGCAGGTTAAATTTTAACCAAGGGTTAGGGCTAATCTAGCTTTGAACAATCAGCCCCTGACGGACTAGAGGCAGCAGTCTGAATTGAGCCTTTCAGACAAAAGTTGCGAGGATTTGTTTTCAATGTTTTGCAGGAAATAGTTCACGACCATACGTACTTGGCAACGGATTATCATGAAGAATTATGTCGTTGGTTAAACGAAGATTATTCCAACAAAGAGCAGTGTGTTATGCAGCTACCTTTTACACAGCCTGCTGGCGGACAAAATACTGCCGTCAAAGATGAAGAGAAGGAGAGACTAAGAAGGGAAAAACAAGGACGAAGACTACAGGAAATCAATTGCAAGAAATTACAAGAGAAAGTAAGGATAAAGCAAAGAAGTGTACAATACAATACATTCGGTACACGACACAGCACAGTACCGTACAACACATTACAATAGAGTGCAATTCAACAAAATACGCGCAATACAGAACAACACAGTACATTACAGCAGGGCTGCAAATTACTGTCGGACATCGGACAATGTCCGACTAAATTTGGCAAATGTCCGAGCAAAAAAATTGTCACATTATACATTTTTTTGCCGTGACAAAATCCGATTGCAAATTCACTCAATTTGCATTTTGCAATAGAATTTACGAGGCATTCTAGCATTTTACTTAACGTTGCGCCGGAATGGCTATACGTACTTGTCTCGTGACTTATAAATATCTTGTGACGTATATATGTCCGACCAAATTTAGTGGTGTACGTTGGTTTTTGTCCGACCAAATTCAAGTTATGTCCGACCAAAATTAAAAGTGACCGGACAAATGTCCTGTCAAGTCAAATATTTATTTGCAGCCCTGTTACAGTACAGTACAAAACCACAGTAGCGCAGTTCAACTACTGTACAACACAGTACAGACTACAGTTCACTACAATTCAATCCTTTAGTTATCAGAGGAAGAAGCTCGACTTAAGAAATTGCTAAAGATCCGAAAACTGGAAAATAACGAAAATAAATTTAAGGTAGGCTAATTCTACTGCGAAAGGTTTTAACTTGCCATGTCTATATAGTTATAAAGAACTGTCTCTATTATGTGACTATATCACTATAATTGTTTTAGGCTGCAATGACAAAAGAAGGGTTTCAAACCGCAGAGGTAAGAATATGGAATAAAATATTGAGTAACCTACTGTATAAGCTAATGGTTTTTATTCACAGTCTATATTATAATTATATCTTAGGAATTTCAACTCGCAATTGAGAATTTGTCGATGATAACCAAAAAAAGAAGTGAGAAAGTGAAGAAACTACAAGCATCAATTCAAGCTGCGGTGAGTCAAATTCAAAATAAAATGACTGGATATAACAAGGAACGATTATTTTAAGTGAACTTTATTTACACTTGACAGCGCCTGGCTGTTCTACACCATTCTCCCTAATGAATCCGGTAATGATCCAGTATTACTGCCGTACAGGAAGAAACAAGGGTACCCAGAGAAATCTGTGGTGCTAGGTTGAGTAAGATACTGTAGCTAAGTTCTGTATGTGAGACTGTGCTGATCATCCTTACGGCTTACTTGCTGAGAACGCAGCTCAACCTGATCGAGTCGAAGGCTTACTTGTGAGGGCGCTTCTGGCAGCCACCTTATGACTCATGTCTGGTCACGGAGCACAGCTACGGTAGAAGGGTCAGTTAGAGACTAATCCCAACCCAACCTGTCAACATTCCGTATGGGAGGATACCAGAGTTCCCGGAGAAAACGGGAAGCTTCGCAATGCCTCGGACGGTCGCCTCCAATTGGATGGGGGTTTTCTAAAGAACGAAGCAATTCATTGTTATAAACACAAAAGCAATTGTCAAATCGAGCCAATAAAAATCACTCTTCCGAGCTACTGCGAGGCTACCCGAGAAAACCCACGACTTTCGTTAGAACGTTGACTCACTCTCTTCACGTAATTGTCCTAAGTCCGCAGCGAGAATCAAGCCCACGATCTCAGAGGTGAACGGAGCTTGCTCTGCATAGATGTAACTTAACACTTGCCTGGGGCAACTGAATATCATGACGGGCAAGTAATTGTTTTACCTTGCTTGCCCAATTGACCATTTGCGTAATAGACTAAATTTTGAACTAAACAAGTCTAGACAAAAATTTCATCACAGCTTGAAGGAGCATCACAAAATTAGTAATATTCCAAAGTTTCGTTGCAAAATGTTGTAAAATGCGGAAACAAACGGGAAATTGACAGCCCAAACCCTTCGAGGCTGTCAATTTCCGGTTTGTAATCTAAAATGACTGAAAATTGCAAATTTCGCAAGGCTATATTTTCCGCATTTTACAACATTTTGCAACGAAACTTTGGAATATTACTAATTTTGTGATGCTCTTTCAAGCTATAATGAACTTTTTGTTGAGATCAAAATTTAGTCTATTACGCAAATGGTCAATTCTTAAGCATAAAAGATTTCAGGCCCCCGCGAATTGAAATCGAATTGCTAATAGAACATATTACTGTTGTTGTACTGTACAGTACTTGTAAAATAAAAACTTATTAAGTGTCATTAAATAAATGCATAAATTTTGCTTTATGCACTCGCGCGTGCAGTAATTTTCACAGTTGTGCTATTTTAAATTCCCAGGCAGCTAAAATCTTTTGTCTTTAAAACAATGTCGATTTCTTAGGAAATTCCGAGGTTGCGTTCTTTTTATACACCCTATATTGAAGTAATCTAATGTTGTTAGAATTTGAATGGACTGGCACTTTGCTGAACGTAATAATGCGTAACTCCGTAAGCCTTGTTTTAGACATTGAATTTCGGTCGCGTGAAATGCAACTAAGACAATAGATAATGAAGGCCGAAGCTTAATGAGGTTTATCATCTCATTATTGTCTTAGCACTGAGTGCATAAATTATACACGTCCTAATTACGCATTCAGTAATATTTTTTGTTAATTGACCGGGAAAAGCACGACAATATTTTGTTCATTTCTCGTTCAATTTTTAACCAAATTCAACCAAATTTTAATCAGTTCTTCCTTAGCCGATGGGAAATGCATTCAAAAAATTTCGTACGGATATGTTTGGTATTTCTTGAGTTATCGTGCTCACAGACAAACACACACACATACACACACACACACACACACACATACAAACCCAGATGATTACATAACCTCCTGGCGGAGGTAACTACTTTGGAGGCTTAGGTTACCAAAATATAACCACCCATTTGTTGCCGCAAATCTTAATTCTTAGAACTCTTTTGGCTTAAATATCATGCACTTACTATAGCCTATCAAGGATTTTATGATAGTAAAATCATTGATACAGTTTTGTTACACAGTTAATCAGCTATTATTCAAAGGCTTAGAGAAAATATTGGGGGAGGGGTGTGCCCTTCACCTCCCTAGTGTTTGCCACTGCAAAATAGTTGGTAATTGAATTTTAACCAAAGGTTAGTGCTAATCCTGCTTTGAACAACTGGCTGCAAAAGTAAAATTGTCTAGGTAAGTGTTATTGAGTAAAATCTTCTGGCATTAGACAAAATAAAAGAAAAAAGTAGGGTGCATTTCGGCATATATGCAACAACCAACTATAAAAACCCTTCAGCTGAATCTTGATTACCATACCTAACCTAGCCTGCGAACAGGCTCTTTGAATTGAAAGAGAGTTCAAAGAGAGCCTATTCGCAGGCTATACTAACCCATTAACACAGAATAAGTAGGTATAGCAGGAGCGTAACTCTAGTCGTTTCCCTTATTGTTTTACATCCACGAAAATTTTAACTCGCTCACGCCAATCCACGTCATCCTGGCTAGTACAGCCGGAAGTTTTTATCAGGTTTTGGTAGGTACAAAGTGCCGGTTGTACTAGCCAGGATGGCGTGATTGATGACAAATCGCTTGTAAAAACGCGGACAAATACTTGCTTGAGTTACGCTTCTGCTATACCTTCCTATTCTGTGCCATTAACATCCACACTTTTCTTTTGACAAGTAAAATCGTCTGGCATTAGACACAGGCGTACAGAAATACACAAACCAAAGTAGCACTTGGGTAATTGACTTTTAACCCAGGGTTAGTACTAATCCTGATTTGAACAACTGGCTCTACAAGTAAAATTGTCTAGTGTTATCGAGTAAAATTATCTGGGGCATAATTTCCAGGGTGCATTTCGTGTAAACCTTGCGCCGAAGATAATCTGAGGTCAGTGTTGCCGAGCGCCAAGTGAGGTCAACTTATGCGCCAGCTGATTGCGGGCATCGTGATTTTTCATTAATAGTTAGTTGCTTAAAATGTAAACTTGCTAAAAAGGCATGTAACTAATTAATAAAATGTTTTGCTGATGAGCAATGCTGCGTCAACCACCAAACTGAAAACTTGTGCGCCAACCTCGACGTGGTTGTGCGCCAGCAATTCAAAACTCACGCCGAAGATCGTCCACAAAACGTGCATGGAATGCACTCTGGCATAATTTTTTGCATATATTGCAACTAGCTTAGTGGGATAACAAGAAGTATTAGCAGATTGTTTGGTTAATCGTCTGGCGTTTATACATACTAGATTAAAACAACAATGTAGGGTCAATTTGGGTGCATTGTAGCAGTTTAACAAGATATATTCATATTTGAAAGCTCTCACCTTGTCAATCTGGCATAATTTTATACACAATTATATTTATAAAAACAAAAACCAGTAAACCACGACAAAAGTATATACACAAAGACAAAAGCGACGACAAAAGTAAAAGAAACATTGCACACTGAACCAATGCGGCATAGTGTAACACAGATTAAACAACAAAGTACTAAAGTAGAGTGAATTTGGGTGCGCATTTGAGAAGTATGAGTTTGAGACATATTTGCAAGCTTTTCCTCTGACAAGTGCGGCATGGTGGGTTAATTGAAGCACACAGACAGCATTTGAGGATGCTATTTTACAAGAAAAAAGCTTACTTGCCTTTAAATTTTAAGATCCGAAAAGTCTCTGGCTCAAAAGCGACGTTTTAACGCATTAAAAGAACAGTTCTTCGCAGTGATATTTGCTAATATATTGTTTACAAACACGCGCCATAGGTCTATATGAACAACTGGAGTTACACTTTGTGCTCATCCGACAAACATTGCACTCTAAGTATACGAATGTGTCTAGCCCGCGAACGGGCTAGCCACAA